CTTTACAAATAGTTGAGTGGAACATTGAACATAAGTTTCAACTTATCTTTATGTATAATAGTTAAATATTGTGCTGTAAGGTCTAGGCTAGACCAAAAATGTGAATTTTGTTCTTTGTTGATTGTTAAATTCCAAGATGATACACACCTTTTCACACAGAAAGCTATCTTCCTTGTACGTCTGCCTGAGATTTGTATACCACTAGCCTTTAGGCAACTACCACCTAAATTCATGAGATTTCTTGTGATTTATGCTATTGCATAATGACATTATTATGCAGAAAAAGCCCTTCACTATTCTCTTAGTGCACTAACTCCCTCTGTGGTTTTGCACTCCTGATCATGCTTTTTCATTGGCACTGAACATAATAGATATATTTTGAATTTCACAATTTACAGAAGTTTGCAGTAGATTGAAGGACTTTTTTCTTCTAAATATGAATTCTTAAGTTCATGTAACTTTAACTTCTAGTGTGAGTGAGGAATAACCTCACACAAGTCAAGTTTCACACTTGGCTACTGGAGGCCCATTAAATATGGATAACATTGTGCATAGGGTAATAGGTTCCATTATGCAGCCATGAGTTTTGGTGCCCATCCATTCATTTGGCATTCCATTCCTTCATTCTAAGGGGAAGCGTGAAGAGGATTATGACTTTGACCATTTGTTTCCACTTCTTGGTTATGCCTTAGGAACCTCATTTCTTATTGAAGAAAATTTTCTGGTTTCCTTGCATTATAGAGACCTTATAAATCAGGTGTGTTATATTCTCTTGTTTCTGTGTTATATGACATTTCCATTCCCACTTTCATAAACCTACCCCTAACCAGTGTTATGTTTTCCCTCCTCCTCCTCATATTAGACCCATTTTGTTTCTGCAAGATTATGCCTTGTTCTCCTCACCTTTATGATTCCTATATCATGACATAAAGTCATTCTATTTTCCCTTTTATGGAGTCACAGACATTGGAGTCTCTTTTTCCTGTGTGTGGGCTGACCTTTTGGGGTTAGTTTCTTTCTATATTATCCAATTCTCTCTACTTTGGCTAAACCTCTTTACTGTGGTTCATTATCTTTCCTGTCTACACTTCACAGAGCACCAGATGATTTTACTGGTGATTCCCATTCCCTTCTTCTTTCTGCCATGGCCTGTATTACTACTTTGTCTCTTTCCCTGCTCATTGGATCATTTGCTGTTGAGACTTGTAGGGTAAGGATATCTTTTTTTTCCATGTTCGTCTTTCTTTTTATGAGACCTCTGCTTCACCTTCTCTCTCTTTACTTTTTCATTTTTGGGCATATTCCAGATTTAATTGAATCATGGGTGGAAGCTACCCATCATCAATTCTTGTTAACTTCTTTGGTTTCCTGACAATCCCAACACCCGCACTTCATTCTCTTCTCTCATCCTAGTTCCTGTGTGTCCCGTATTTCCTTTTTGTTTTCCCATCCTTCTCTTTCGGCTCAACCATCTTCAGCCAGATGTCAAAGTTACTGGGCTCATTGGTGACTGTTTTGGCAGATTCAAATCTCTCATCCTAGTTCCCCTGTTTCCCATATTCCTTTTTGTTTTCATGTCCTTCTCCTTCTGCTTAACCATCTTCAGTCACATGTCCAAGTTACTGGGCTAGTTGGTGACTGTTTGGCAGATTCAAATCAAGTGGGGGGATCTTTTGTCGAGGTATGCACATCTTTTGGAACAACTCTCAGCAGACAGATGGGTTACTATTGTTCTCACTCACTGACTCTCCATCCATTTCTCCTTAGCTTCCTCTTTCAGTTCACAACCAGTTCACTTCCCCCTTTCTTCAGATTCCCCATCTACCTTCAACATCTGGAAGATAAAGTGTTGGATCTTTAGCACAAACAGGGCATAGAGAACATGTACAACCCTTCTCCAGGGTTTCACTCACACAACTTCATAGTTCCCAAAAAGATTGGAAATTGGCAGCTGGTTATTGACCTTTCCTCCCCGGGAACCTTCTTCCTCCTCATGTGGGCCATTTTATTCCCATTCCAGAGTCTTTCTGGTGTTCCCTTCAATTAATTCATTGAGATCACATTTTCTAGTTCAGTGATCTTCTGTTCAGAATTGTCTCAACCCCTATGTCTTTAACAGAGTGGTCAGGGCCGTTTGTCATAGACTGGGTTTGTGATTCGACCACTACATGGACGATTGCCTTTTCCTGTCTCACTCACAGGCAGAGTCCTCACTTGAAACTTCAATTCTTCTGTGTGAGGCTACTGTTTGGGTTGGCTTGTCAAGATCTCCAAATTCTTTCTAACTCCCACCCAGTATCTTGGGAGTTATTCTTCAACTCCCTTCTCAGCTGGGCCAAGCCATATCCTATCTGACTGCAGGCACTGGTGCTTTCTGTCACCAGGATACAAGCATCTCCTACTCATCCTGCATGAGAGGTTATATCCCTTTTGGGAACCATGGCATCATTGAAGCTGCTTATTTCTCTGGGTCATGCTCATATATGCCTCCTCCAATGGTCCTTGCAAGACCACTCAAGGGAACCCTTTGGCTCAATGATTCTTCTGTTCCCTGCTCTTCTTGAGGACCTTTCTTGGTGGCATGACCACACCAATACTACTATTGGAATTTTTCTACCTCCATCCAAGCTTGACTTGCACCTTTCCACAGATGCTTTCCTCTTGGGAAGGAGAGGGTATTCGAATGATATCATTACATCAGGCACTTGGACCCAGGATGAATCCTCCCTCCACATCAATGTGCTGAACCTCTTGGCAGTATGCCAATCGTGTTCCTATTTCTTACCCTTCATGATGGATCATTTAGTTATGGTTTACTCTGACAACAGTTGTTTTCTATACCACCCATCAGGAGGGGTATCAGATCCAGGACCCTTTGTTTTCAGACCCATTACCTTCTTTATTGGGCCCATGCTTAACAAATTGCCTCATTGCCTGTCATGTTCTGGGTGCTATGAACCTTATTTTGGACCAGCTCTCTCAGCTTTGATTGTGTTTTGCTCACAGAATGGTCTCTTCACTTACATGTTTTCCATTGGGTGTGTTCTCTCACAGAGTCTCCTCTTTGCTACACTCTCAATTTCAAGTCTCCTCTCTTTTGGTCTCCTGTTCTCCATCCTTCAGACCTAGCTGTTGATGTATTCAGCCTGGACTAGTCAGATCTTTTCCTGTATGCTTACGTGCCTCTCCTTCTGTTACCCCAAATCCTAGCCTTAATTTGTGACACTCCTTGCTGAGTCCTCTTGGTAGCACCTCTGTGGCTGGCTTAAACCTGTTTTCCACTTCTTCATAGTCTTTCCACTAATCCTCCTCTTCCCCTACCACCCATATCCTCTATTGCTTCAGCCTCACACGTTTCTGTTCCATTAAGGAATCTTGTCCCTCCATCGTCACATTGGGATTTCTCTGGTCCATTGCCTGTAGAGCCAGACTTTCTTGGAGGCTAACCTTTCTCCTTTCACATTGTTGGCATCCATCCACGTTGTCCATCTATCAGCATAAGTGGCATATTTTTGGCGTGATTGTCCTATGGTTGGCCATCTCTCCTCCTTTACCTGGCTGTTTGACAACTGATTGGCTGTCTCTGCCATTGCCAGTTATTGCACCAACTTTTGCACTTTTGAGATCCTTATCACTTACCAGTTCCTAGCTGCTGGGGTGGTGTACAATGAAGAACCCTCATTGACTGGGACTGAATTGCTAGAGGCTGAACAAATGGTGCCAATCAGTGGGAAGTAGAGTGGTGATGACACTGACGGTGTAGCACATATCACATCTTATATAATTATATTCATAACATGCTGGTTTCAGGGTGGTTTGGTGTTGAATCAGCATAGGACTAGCTTACACAAGTCCTCACACATGTGGTTGGTAGGGGTCTGCCTCCTACCAGTGCTGGTCCAAGAAGCCTGATGGTAGAGTTGAGGTGAGCACTAGGAATGATCTGAATGCCCCCAACCATGCTACTCATATTGGCTCTCCAACATCTTGTGTGCAAGTACTTGGGTGGCCATGTTCTTATTCTGCCAATACCCATGACACATGGAGCAAAGAGTGTACACTGGAAGAGATGATATGCAGTCTCCCACAAGTCTGCCTCTATGGAGCCCCTGCCATCAGGAGTCACACTCCATGGGTCTCCTTTGAGTGCTTTCTGGAGGGAACTCATCTAGATAACTTCTGCATCAGTTCCTGCACCATATCCACGTGGGATTCTAGTTTTCTTGTGTAGAGGTGTGTTTTGCCTTGGATGTTAACATTTTTCTTATCTGAAAATATATTTCCTATAGATACTCACTTCTTCCAACAATTCCTATCCTTCCTCCCCATTTCCAGTGCAAATTAGTTTCCTTGCCTCATTAGAGAATGATCACAAGTGCAAATGCATAGACTGAGTTTGTGAACTCTGATGTTGTGTCACCCTCCTATTGGTGGAGGGCTTTTGCTGCATAATAATGTCATTATGCAGTAGGACAAATCATGGGAAATCTTATGAATTTAGGTGGGAGTTGACTGAAGGCTAATGGCTTGCAAATCTCTAAGGCAGACTTATGAGGAAGATAGCTTTCTATGCTCAGAGGTGAATATCTATTGGAAACACATTTTCAAGTAAGAAAAATGTTGTTTTGAGTGTGAACCTTAAGTTTCATTCTTATTGAATGGTCACTTTGTTTACATATAGATAATTTTATTGTGTATTAAACATCCACTGTATTAGATTCTCTCTCTCACTTGTTACTTTAATCTTCATTAGGATTTATTTTTTGAGCTGATTAGCCAAAGTGGACAGTCTGCGTCCTTGTCCTTTTTTCTGTTAAAAAAAAAGTAGAAAGTATAATGTTCAATGTTCTATATATTTGAATCATGTTTAGTTTGGATTATTTGGTATCAAATTAACTGCTGACTAATAATGTCAATATTATTGATTTTATGAATCAAAAGCTTTAAAGGAATGTGTACATGTGTATATTTAGATTTATTGGTCTTCCTCACCTTTTTAGGAAGAGTATATGCAACAACTTTATGAACTTGTTCCTAACTATGGATATGAAGTATTTAAAGCACAAGTAGATGAGGAAGGAAAAGTATGGATGGTAAACTTGCAGGTGGATCCTTATTGCAGTGAACAACCAGGTCTGAGCATGTACATTGATGGTAGTAAAAATGTAAGTTTGTATTTTATTCTCTTCATTTTAATAATTTATGAACAATTTATTTATTTTTACTAATTCTGTAAATCTATTTGTTATTAAGTAATGTGTATGAGAAAATTCAAGATGTGAAGCCACACACTTATCACATTGACATTAAACCTCTGTTGTAAAAGAACAATACCATCAAATTAAAAACATAGTCTACAGAACTACTTTCTTCTGCAGTAAAATTTACTGTAATGCAGTTATAATAAAAAGTATTCTTTATTTTGATGAGTTTACTGTCAAGTCATGTTTTTGTGTTTTTTTGTCATGTTCTTAAAGCTTTTCTATGAGCTGTCATTAAGCTATTTGTTGTGAGATGTTTTTGTTTTATCTTGTTATGAGAAATTTTCCCATCTATGTTTTATTGCTCTTTAGTCTTAGAAAAAATACTGTATTTATAAATTTTTGAAACTTTTGTACTGTAGTCTTTGTTTCTACTGTTACTCCATGTGTCTTAGGTGAAGCTTGGATCAGCAGATTCTGGCAGTTCAAAGAGTGATGTTTCATGGTCTGGACTTTCTAAGGGTAAAAATTGTCAGGTTTCACTTTGACAATTCCATAGTGGTATCTTCCATTTCCCATCAAGGGGACACTTGGTTCAGGTCTCTCTGTTATCGAACCATGGATCCTTTTTTTTAGGCTAACTCCTATTATATCACCCTACTAGCTTGCCATGTTCCAAGGGGTGATGAATTTGGTGGCCGATCAACTGTCTCAACCCAGATGGATTCTCCCGACAGAATGGATGCTGCATCATGAGGTTTTCTATTGGTTTTTCATTTAGTTCGGAACACTGATGATCACCAACCACTTCTCGGATCCTGTTGATAGTACCAGATTGGTGGCTAAACTCTTGTTTCCACTTCTGTGGTACCTTCAGGAGTACCCACCTCTTCTAATTCCTCTTTGGCTATCTGTGTTGAGGATATTATACATCCAGCTGTCCTGAAGCTCCAGCTTCATGCATGGAGATTATGCAGTCCTTTGCATGATGTCGGGGTTTAACTTCTAAAGTTACCATGTATCTGTCTCAATCTTTACATAGTCACACAATGGACATTTATCAATGGAAATGACACCCATATCGAGAATGGTATATGGAGATGTTGAATCCACTTCATCCAGAAGTGCCAAACATAACTTGTTTTTTGACCTAGCTCTTTGACAACGGTTTTAAATCTTCCACAGTTGCCCTATATAAAGTAGTTTTATCAACTTCCTTTAGATACTAGAAACAAAATTTATTTTAGACCACAGTAAACCCTGGCCTCTTCAAGTCATTAGGGGTTCTGCATCCCAAACAATCATTTCAGTTACCTAAATGGTCTATTAAGGTGGTATTTCATGCTATATCTCTATATCCATCTGAGACTTTAGCCTCATGTACCAATTATTGCATTTCCCTTAAGGTTTAATTTTTGTTGCTGCTGGCCTGCAGATTTTGCTGGTTGGAGTTGTTTGCAGTAATTGTGCACAGGATTCTTTATCATTCTACCTATGTCCTCCTATACTCAGATAGATTCTTCTTCCCTAAGATGCTGGCAGTTATGGAAGGGGATAAATTCTTTTCATCAATTCGTCTGACCACAATTTCTCACCTGTATGATCGATCAAATCTTGATTGTTTGTGATGTCTAGTGTTTTGAAGTGTTATGTTGCCTGAACTAATGCCTTTAGAGGTGCTAGGCAATGACTTTTTATTCGTTGGGATAATTCAGTTTCCCAGGACTCATTTCCTGTTAGTTTGTCAAGGGTGGTATGGAATTGATCCAGACCACTTATTCTCTGCTCTCGTTCGAGGTGAGGAGTATTTTCTGAGTCATGTATCTTCAGAGTTTTTGCATTTTTATGCTCTTAATAGCCCAATTGAATTCCCTACTGGAAGACATTGAGTGGGCTGGTATGTGGTCCTCGTCTAATACTACCTCCAGTATCATAGTTACTAAACTTGATAAATTATAATGGAATTCTATGGTATATATAGTAATTCTATGTAATTTATAATTTTTGGTTATT